TTGAATGTCAAAGACATCAACGACCCCAGCTTACCCACTTTCCTCCCTCCAGCCACTTATAAAAAAACTAAGATTAGTGCTAGGAAGTTCCTCCCCCCCAAAAAAAAAAAAAGAAAAAAAAATAATTTCGAAAGTTTACGAATCAGGGAACCTTAAAAAAAAAAAAAAGTATGTATCTCGCTCTGGTAAAATTAAGTTGACCAACTTCATCATCATTTCTGTGAACCACTAAACTGAGCACGCTTTCAAGACGAGGTTCCACCGTGCTAGTGAACTGATGCTACTCTTTCTTTACGGGGTTTAGAGCTATTTTTATGTGCGCTCTATAAACTCTACGGTATAGAGAGGCGTAAACCTTCCATCGGAGCTAAGTTTCGCTCAGGGATGAGCTTATTTTATATATATATTTATATATATTTTATATATATATATAATATATATTATTATATATATATATATATATATATAGTGATGGTGATCTTGTAACAACACCCCACCTTACACCTGCTGTTAGCTTTAAACGTAGCTTTTAATGCTGTATTTTTAGCACACCTGGATACTTTATGTTCTGCTCACCTTCTGCAGCCCCCGTCATTAACAAGGTCTACACCAGAACCCTTGAATAGTCGCTTTCTTAAGAAAGTTAACAAAAGTTGGATGTTATTCTAATGGTTAGTGTGGCGTTGCACTTACCAGTATGATGTTGCACTTACCAGTGTGATGTTGCACTCATCAGTGTGATGTTGCACTCACCAGTGTGATGTTGCACTCACCAGTGTGATGTTGCACTCACCAGTGCGATGATGCTCGATCTTCCGTTCGGTAAGCACGATACGCACAGCCCATCTATCTGTTCTTGTCTGTCTCTTTTGTGATCGCTGTCGCTATGTTGCTCACTGAGTGAAACTAACTACGGTGGATCAGTAAATATGAAAGGGAAGCAATTCAAGGAGTTAAACTCACCGAGAAAGATTGAAAGCTTAAGAAGGCACGAGGGTAATGCTGAACTCTGATGATGACGTCTCCTGACTCTAGATGGGACCCTGCTGGGGATACCATCTGCGATGATTGTATTATTTGGTACAATCGTTCCCTTCATTTCCCTTGTTGAGGGGAGAACCTCTTTGCTTCGCAAACTCCTCTCTCTTGTGCTGTTAATTACTCTCTTTCTTCCCCTTTGAACCCTCTCACTGCATTCAACACTCTTTATTTTTGTCTCTCAGCTCTCAAACATTGCCTTCTTTCCTGTTTCTTTCTTTGTCTTTAATCTTCTGTGCTTATTTCCTCCTCGTTTTCTTCCTCGACATTCACTTTTCGCCCATCTAGCATAGTACCCAAATTTTATATCATCGTTGTCATTAAAAGCAGGCCGCGGGGGCGTTGACCCCCGAAAACCTCTCCAGGTATCCTCCAGGTAAGATTTGGTTAAGTTATGATAAGTTAGGTTAACGTATATTAACCAGTGTTTACTTATAATTAACCAACATAACAACAAAAAATGGTTGGCTTATATATCTGGCATCTTGAGATATCGTTGTATCTCTGAACGTTGGTATCCCAACGAACGCTTGAGAAATTAGATCAATGTATCCCTTTCTCCTACTGAATCATGGAACGTTTGCTGACCCTGCACGTAACCCCTCCCATTACTGTAATTGCTCTGTAGCAACTAGGATGAGGCAGGAAACATGAAGATACTGGGTTATCCATGACGGCCTCTTCCGCTAGGTTCAGTCATATTTCTTCCTTTTCCTGCTTCAGAACACGCTTTTACTGAGAAAACGTTTCGCTCTTAAGAGGTATTTATCAAGTTCAAAGCCCGCTCGCTGTAGGAGGGGTGGAGGATGCTGTGTGCCTAAAGGTGGGATGTACAGTGCCTGCACTCTGAAAGATGGATGTGGGATCTTGTGAGTTCTTAGGTGTGAATAGGGGTGGGGATATTGCCGTTCAGAGGGTTGGTACTCATGTAAGCTAGGCTTT